TCTATCTATCTATCTATCTATCTATCTATCTATCTATCTATCTATCTATCTTATCTATCTATCTATCTAGTCACATTTTGTTTTACAACAGCGCCATCTAGTGTTTATTTTGTCGGCTGCTCCCTTTTATAACGTCCTCGCCTGGGGTCCGCCTCCTCTTCGTTATGATTGGCTCAAAAGCGTTATCACGTGATTTACACTCTTCCTCTCGGTTTGTCCGTTGAGCTGTCCGTCACCCGGGCTTCTGTTAACTGTTGCCGCCCACTTTTGAAGATGGAGGACGACATTTCGGATTTGAGCAGACCTCAAATGTACTTGTTCGGTGAGCTCGCTCCTTCCAGCAGACATTGAACGGACGAGTAGCGCAACCAGCTTTAATACAACGTTAAACGTCCAGTTATTAAACGTTACGGAGGCAGTTCGCTGTTTACACACGGCCCTCCTGTTCGCTCCCTCTCAGCTCTATTGTTGCTAGCTGGCCTACAAATCGTGGTTCAAACTGCTGTGTGTGCATTTTTAACATTGCTGCATGTTTGCAGGTTGCACCTTGAAATCGGATAAACGGGAGTTTAAAGTTGACGTAGATGACGACGATGCAGAACAACAGCTGTCACTCAAAGCAGTAAGAAGCTCATTTTTGATTATTAATAACCAGACTGCGCAGAAAGCGTTTGATCTACTGATTATCACGTTTGTTGTTTTACTTTTTGTTATGAATGAATGTGTCTGAGACAGACCTTACAAATACTTTACAACAGCTTATTAGCAGTAGTAATTGTGCTATAAGTGTATATTGTTAGACACATTTAATTAAACCCTGGAGGGTAGAAGTTGTTTAATCACTTTGTCCATTTTTTTCATCTGGCCAGTAGTTTTGAGAGTCCAGCTGCAGGGCCATGGTTCAAAACTTTAAATCAAAAGCGCAGCAGCTTTGACCTCATGCAGACTTTGTGACACACCTCCAGAGCAAGTTTCAAATGTTCTCTTCAGGATTTGCAGATCTCACATCGCCTTTGTGAAAACCGTGGTTCTGTTCCAGGTGTGTCTGGGCTCTGAGGCTGAGGACAAGTTCCACGTGGTGGAGGTGGAAGGGCTCACGTACGATGCGAAGACCACCAAAGTGCCGCTGGTTGTCCTGAAACCTTCTGTCCTGCCCTCTGTGAGTCAACGCCGACTCTCACTGCGTTTTCTGGATATTTACAAAGATTATGTATCGTTCGTGCATTAAAAACAAAAACAACCCAGAATTTAAATCAATTCTTATTAGAACAGCATGAACGCATGTTTGTCGTTGTAAAAGTGTTTCTTTTAATTATCCAGATAAATTTAGGTGGGTTTGAGATCACTCCTCCAGTAACCTTCCGTCTCGTGTCCGGTTCTGGACCGGTTCACATCAGCGGGCAGCATTTTGTCAGTGAGTATCACGGCTCAAACTAAAAGGAACAATTTTAATCCAGATTCTCAAAAACGACAGTTTTTTTCATTCAACCTTTATTTCGACAGGTAAATCCCATTGAGCCTCGAGGACTCGTTTACAAGATTATTTTTAACTTTATCTCATTGTCTCCCCCAAAACGACGTCGCTTAATTTTTCTTTTGCAAATATCACGTTTTTATTTACGTCCATTTCAGAACGAGTTGTCATTTTCTGGCAGTTTTAGTGGGAAAGACGATTTAATTTTATTTATCAAACCTTTACTTTCATGATTAAGTATGAAATAAACATGTTGCGTTCTCAGGAGTTTGCCTTCTCACCGAGTCTGATATGAATTTTCAGTTTTGGTCAGATTTACTGTAAATTCTTTACTACGGTTGTTTTAGTAAATGATTAAATCTTCATGTCTGTTCCAGGCGTGAAGGAGTCTGATGATGAAGACGAGGAAAACAACACATCACCAGTGAAGAGGCCTGCAAACCTGTCGCTGAAGAAACCCTCCGCGGTGATTCTCTGCATGATTTTTCCCTGTTCCTTAATTCGATCTGAAAACATCACAAAGCTCTGACGTCGTCGTACATCTCCATCTTTTCAAGTTTTCGCAGACGTAAAACTCTGAAGAACTTTACACGTTTTCACATCGCGACATTAATCTGAGAAGACGTTTAACGTAAAACATCTTCTGATCAGTTTCTCTGGCTTAAAGAGGATTCTTGTTCCTTGCAGAAAAAAATGAAGATGGATTCAGATGATGATGACGATGATGACGAAGAAGACAGCGATGAAGATGACGATGAGTATGATTGACTTTATTTTGAATTTACATTTTATTTGTAAAAAATTAAAACAAACTGTATTTTTATGTTGTAATATCATTCAGGATATCTAAGCTTATTTTTGCTTTTTTTTTTTTGTAGTGACGATGAGAGTGATGAAGATGATGTGAAGCCTCAGAAGAATGTGGGGAAAGTACCGGTACAGAAAAAAGTAAGTCTGGTTTGTTAATGAAATGTTGATATTAGCTGTGCATTAAAAAATAAAACCTAGTGGTATTGACAAGAACCAATGAAGATCAAGGTTCTTTATTGTCATTCGCATCATATGTGGTACATGAGGTGGAATGAAATTGTGTACGCAGGGTCCCAGTTACAGCCAACAAAAGTATAAATTGTAAAAGAAAAACAATAATAAGGTCTAAGATATGAACTAAGAATACGCTAAACACTTAATAGTGCAACAATAATACACTAAACAGCAGCACGAACATGAGTCTGTGTGAGCAGATGAGTACGAATGAACCCAGCAGCATGAGATCAGCAGCATGAGATCAGCAGCACATATCAACAATCAAACAAACAATAGAGTATTAAGAAACATTAAGAGAAGATTTAATATTTAAATATTGAGTGTTTTAGTAACAAACATAAAGAATGCTAATTTAATCCTAATTTACAAAAACCTTTTCGCTGTGATATATTTGAGTTTATGATTTTTTTGTACATTATTTTCTTCGTGCACTCCAAACATTGGAGGAGGAGGAGGGCTCAGTTTAATTTTCAAAGGTCTATTTTAATTTAGCTCTAAGTTGTTAGGATGACAACAATAAAACATACTCAGTAAATTGTTCAAGTAGCTATTTTGGAAGAACTTGTGATTTTCTTTCTTTTGTGTTACTCTAAAACAACAGTTTTTAGAGTTATCATAGTTAAAATATCTGTACATAATGTGAAAACTAGGGCTGGAGGATATGACCAAAACTTTTATCACTATATATTCCTTAATTTCGGTCGATAACGATATAATTAGATATCGATATAAACAATCTAAAAGCCTCAGAAAAACTGTACAAACTGTACAAATAAATTAATGTTCATCTTTTATTTGTATTTAGCCTTAAAAAAATTGAAATCACCGTCAATTAAACACAAAACTCTCAACTTTGTCAATATTAAGTTTTAACTTTAAACAACAACAACGTAACCTAACAGTGTTTCTCTTTCGATACAGCTGGGGTGTTGTTTCAGGGACGCGTTGGCCCAAACTTTATTGTTTCATCTTCTGACTCAGCATATTTTATCGAGTGGAACGAGTTCGATGTGTTCCCACCGCTAGTTGGAACGACTCTCCGTCACATCTCGCAGCACACTGACTGAAACCTGCAGTTTATCGGATCTTAGAAAGCCGAACCACTTCCACACCGCTGAATTAGTCTTTCCTCTCTTATCAGTGATGTCATCTGTTTTCTCTTCGCTTGTGAAATCATTTTGAAGCGACAACGTAACGCGCGTTGGAGATTAGCCTAGCCTGCTGCCGCTAATGCCTTCTGGATTTGAGCTCTGAGTAACATTACGTCACCACGCACTTACGTAGTTGTGTTGCACGTTTTTCTGTTCGGGTTGAAACTGAAGTGGACGCTTCAACCCAAACAGAAAAAAAAAAAAAAAAATGCGTCAGTGAAACGCTGTGATCATGTCAAAATATCGAAAAATTGCTTAAAACTCATATCGTTATTGAACAAAAGTATATCGTGATATGTATCGATATCGAATTATTGTTCAGCCCTACTGGAAACATTAGTGTTTTTTCAATGTTTATTGGGGGCAATAAAAATGAGCGGGTTTACACGAAAACGCTGTAGTTTCCGTGTCAGTCGGGTTGCCAGATAAGAAATGATGAACTATAGTACTGTGGATTTAAAATGATAGTATTTTGACTTAAACTGTCATATGTGCTGAGTAAAGATATTCTAAGATGAGGTGTGTGTTTGTTGAACATGTGCGCAGAACAGGAGGGGGTAAATTTTAGACCTTTCAGGTCTCTCTTGTAAACGAGTCCTCGGGGCTCAATGGGATTTACCTTTCTAAATAAAGGTTGAATGAAAAAATAGGATATTTTAAGTTTATCTGGCAACCCTGATGCTCAGCTGCATTCATTGTGCAGCATCTGCATGACGGTTATGTCCAAACTGGTGAATCCACTAACGTCTCTTTGGAGCCTGGATTTTATTAGTTTTGCTCCTGCAAGCTGAAAAAGGGTGAGCAGCACAAAAACACTCTGCTCTCCACCGTTTATTATAACTGTTGTTATTTATTATAGCTGTTGTTAGTGCAGAAAAACTTAGGACTGCAGCCACCTGGAGTGTGCATGCGCCACTTCACACTTGGAGCATTTCATTCCTCCGTGGGGGGTTCCCCCAAAAAAAGTCCACTCTGAGACCTGGATTCAGAAACCTTTAGTTTCGGAGAGAACGAGGGCCGTTGTAAATGAACGGCCGAACCTGCGGTGTCAAACTCAAAAATCGAGTCGTGTTAGCGGAGCCGTAGCCACCTGTACAGTGAGAAAAGTCTGAATATTTGCCAAGTTCAATTTGTTTCACCTGTAACCGTAACATTCTGTCTAAATGTAAGACGTGAGTCAAAGACACTTGAACTGATCCACCACATCAAGTCTTTCTACCTTCACTTTAACACCTGACCGTGGACCCTCGGCTGCTCCATTCGAATAAAGTAACCCCACATCCAGTTTTTAAATATTTAGATGTCAGCATGGATTTTAAAACCAGACAGAAACTGGTACCAAAGATGCAGGTACCTGATTCCTCTGAAAGTTGGTTAAAATTATCCAAAAATCCATTCCTGGCCCTCCAGCTGTATTTTTCTCGTACTGTATTTAAATTATAAATTGTACGAGATTCAGACATTAAATATTTAAATGAAATTGTTACTGACAAGTTAAACAGATTTTCTCCTTAATGTAAGAGTTTCTTGCAGTTTGGATTCTTCTACGTCGGCGCTCTTTGTTGTTGACATCGTCCACTAGATGTCAGCTTGGCCATTTCTTTTCTTGCTCAAGGAATTTCTCAGCGTAGCTGCCGTCACTCCCCTCCTGCGTCTCCCACCTCTTTTAAACATCCACAGACCGTACGCAACTGCATTTCATTTCAACACGTCCTACCCACTCCTGCACCCGCTGACCGTCCAGCTCTTTACACGAGACAACACGGGGAACTTTTTCATCCTGTTCGCTCATGCTCCCACCTGTTTTCAGGGAGTAAAATACAGGCTTCGAGTTGTGTAATGATCGGATTTCTCCTCTGTAATCTGCTCAAATTCTCACCGTCTCACCAACAGGACCACGTTGTGCTACAAACACACGCACACACACACACATTAACAAACTTGTGCATTTAAAACGTTTCTTTGCAGGAAATCTGCAAACATGAACGGTTCGTTTATTTTGTGCAGAAACAGAGAAACGCTGATGTTTCTCGTAGCTGAGGGAAACATCTTTGACCATTTTTCTAAGGCGCTGCTGCATATCTTTGTCCTTCTGTCATCCCTCTGTTAATTCGCTCGCTCCTTTTTATCGTTTCTCGTGCCATTTCAGCTTTGCACCTGGCTCTTGCCTTTGAACACTTGTTTTGCGTGTTACCGTAATCGCTTACAAGTAGTGTGTGTGTGTGTGTGTGTGTCTGCTGCATTTTTTACGCCGGTGTCTGTTTGTAATTTTTTTTTTTTTGGGCGCTAGTCAAATGCAAACTAGTGTCAGGCAAAAGATGAAAGCAGGGCAGATGCACATACCTGCGACGTGAGTGCCGATCCTTCCCTCGGGGTCAGATGACAGCTGAGCGTTTCTGTCACCTGTGGATTCTTTTCTCGTGTCTTCTCATCCAAGTCCTCATGCACCCCCTTCCACAGCACGACCTTAATCCTTCGCTCCGTTCCCACCCCGTCCAGTTTTTTAATGAGTAGAAACTGTAGAAAGTAGGGCTGGGAGCAATTATTGTTTGACTGGAAATGTGGCCGTGTTTTAGGATTAATGTTGATTTTCTTTTGTTGTCAAACCTCAGTACTGTACAGAGTGTCAGACATTAAATATTGGATTTAACAAAAACTACACGTTGTTCAGATTAAACTCATTTGAATAACCTTTGAGCCGATGTTTTTTCTTGAACGTGCACTCATTATTTATGGTCATTATGAGTTTAAAAAAAAAAAACATCTGCGAATCAACGTTTGATCCTGTTCTTCATTTGGACATGTGCAACACAGAAAATATATATTTGATGGTTTGACAAGTAAATTCCACATTATTACTTTAAAAAGTCATCATGCATTTGGCACCTGAGCAGCCCGACTGTGTCGGTGTTCAAATTGAGAATAAATCATAGATTTCAAAGAAAAGTAAAAGACTCGGGGAACTGTGTTTAAGTCAAGATCTTTGGAAACAAAAAGACACACTTAGTACAACCTGAGAAATCCACACGTATTGGTCTTAAAGACAATCAAAAGTATTAAGGTGTTTACAAAGTACCTTTTAAAAATAGTTGCAAACTTCTTCACATTAAATAAAATACAATCAAACCCGTTTTAAACAATTATAAAAAAAAGAACCAAAGCGACATATGAGAGAGAAAAACAAAAACAATGAAGCGATGCACAAACATTAAAATAACATCAACATTTAGACCTAAATCTGAAGTGTTAAACATAAAAGTTTTGATTTGGCAATCTGCCCATCAACATTCGACAGGCCACCTCAGTCTCTATTTTTAAATCTCTCCTCAAAACACATCTGTACTCATTGACACATCTGTACTCATTGGCATTTAACACAGCGTGATCTCATTTGGTATTTCATTGTTTCTCGTTATATTTAATGTTTTTATGCTTTTATTCATGTTGCTGTAATATGTTGTTATTAATATTTGATGCTGTGATCTTTTTAGGTAAGCACTTTGATAACAGTTACTGTTTTAAATGTGACTTGACTTGATTTAAAATGAGTTCACCATCCAGACTTCTAGTCTGTTCCAGAGAGTTTTGGAGCCTGGACCGAAAACGTAGACACGAACAAGAAACTTCTAGAAGGTCTTGATTAGAAGACCTTAGGGGACTAGGAGGAGTGTAAAGGGTCAATGCCTTGTTTATGCCACACATTGTTTGGGTGAACCCATTCATGTACACGACAACAGCCCTCGTTCGCAACGAAACCGATGGTTTCTGAATCCAGGCCTGAGTGGGGATTTTTGGGGGGAACTCCCTGCAAAGGTCTGAAAAACTGTGCAGGTGTGAAGTTGCACATACACACTACAGGCGGCTGCAGTCCAAAGTATTTCTGCTCCACAAACAGCTACAATGAATGGCAGAGCACTGCGTCCCCTAGGTTTCTGGCCTTGGCAGGGTGCTCATCTCCTCCGTGATTTTATGTGATTATTATTGTTGACCGGGGGGAGGGGAGGGGGGAAGAAACGGCTCAGCGTGACAGAAACGGAGCTTTTCAGCTGGCGTGTTTGTACTGCGCGCCACTAGCTTAGCGCTGTGTCAGTGCTGGCAGTTGTTGGAGGGCAGGACAAGTTGGTAGGCAGGACACTCGGTTTTGTTGACAGGGCGGGGTGCCCTCACCCTCCTCGTAAAGTAAAGTGCTATGTGTTGTCATCGTCGTACTGTATGTTCCCATACAATGGCGAAATCGGTTCTCTGCATTAACCCATCGCACCAGGGATACACCCAGGTGGTGCCCGGGGAGCAATTAAGGATTGGGTGTCTTGCTCAGAGACACCACGACATGTGGGAATGGCTGGGGATCGAACCTGGGACTTTCGGGTACCGAGTCAGCAGCCCTGCCTCTACCTCATCTCAGCCCCGGTGTAATGGTAAGGGAAACTGCAGAGGGCAGAGTGTTTTTGTGCTGCTCTCACTGTTAAGCATGTAGGAGCAAACCAACAACATCCTAGATCCAAAGGAACATTCATGTATTTGACAGTTTGAATGTAACTGTGATCAAGTTGACACCGCATGCACGATGCATGCAGCAAGTTTTTTTAGTTTTCCACACCGCCTTACAACCTAGCTGTTTTTTCGCTACTTTTCCTTTTAATTACCATTTTATTTTCAGTTTTTGTTAAAAAAAATTTAAAATTTGTACAGATCCTTTATGATTGTCTATTGGTGTTGTTGTTGTCCACTGTTGTCATCATTCTTTGTTCAAATTCAGGTCTTTCTTATAAATGAGTCCCCAAGGCTCAATAGGATTAACCTGTCTAAATAAAGCTTGAATAAATCAAGTATGAATCAGGGTTGCCAGATAAACATTAATATGTTTTATTACTCCCTCCTTTTCTGTGCACATGTTCACCAAACTCAACACACACTAAATCTTACAACACCCTCACTCAGCACATGGCAGTTTCGGTCAAAATACAATACTTTTAAAGAGACGGTACATTAGTTCATTATTTCTTATCTGGCAACCCTGCCTGGCATGGAAACTACAGCGAATCCATGTAAACAAGCTCTTATTTGGTTTATTTGTCCCAAAAAGAGGTCGTTCTCGTGTAAACAAATCAGTTTGAAGTCACAAGGGGTAGAACTTCCAATAATCTGTTACAAAATGGGAAATTCATTTATGAAGCCAAAACACCATCAGTTGTACGGATTAATTTCATGTTTAATTGTTAGACATATTTTATCAGTTTAAATTTGTTGCTTTTACCTTTGCAGCAAACATCAGCTTTCAGGATTTTTATTTTTGATGAGTGAGATCAAGATGGAAACATGTCTAAATTAACTGTAGAGTTGCTGTTGTGACTATGAATCCTTTTTAATGAACACAATACTTAGGTCAGTTTTTTATTGTACAATTTGTAATTATTTGATTGAAGTGCCAGAAAAATCCAGAGAGCTTCATCCTCCAGCAACATCACTGGAAGAATTGGAGCGCTTTGCACAAACTTGCAATTTCTAGGAGTAGGGCTAAGTGAGGTGAAAGGAAGAAATGAGATTCACTCGAACTTTGATGTTTCTGCAGTTAAAACAAACAAACGGGTTCTTTTTGTCTACAAAAGAACAGACGTGCACAAACTTTTTATCTGTGGTACAAAACAAGGTTAAAAAACAGGAGATACTTCCAGTGATGCATGTGTAAATGTGCTAAAAGAACCTTTATGACGGACTTTTCTGTATTTTTATTTCATGTAAAATGTAAAGGGTGCACGATATAATCGGCTTGTTATTGGTATCGGCCGATATTAGCAATAAAGTTAAATATTGGACATCGGCCATTCCATCAACAATAACTCACGATACAAAAGGTGCTGTTTTATATATATATATATATAACATCAGTGTTTCCATCCATCCATTATCTTTTACCCGCTTCTTCCATTTTGGGTCACAGGAATCGCCGGTGCCCGTGTCCAGCAATCACTGTGCGAGGGGCGGGGGACACCCTGGACAGGTCGCAAGTCCATCACAGGACACATCAGTGTTTCTGCATTTGGTATCAGGCCACATTAACAAAGATCATTCAGAATAATGTAGTATTTTAATTTCACAGCGGGGAAAATATCGGTATTAGTATCGGATATCGGCCAAAAATCCAATATCGTGCATCCCTAGTAAAATGACAACCGCACAATACAAAATGCACAACAAAGAAAGTACATGTAAGAACAGTATTAAAAACTAAATAATCTTTTTGTATTTGTGTGTGTTTTTGGTAGAAACAAAGTTACAATGACTGGTTAAAAACTTCCATCATAAGACTAGACTACGACTAATCTAAATTTAAAACCGTTTTTCTAAAAATCTGAAGTCAAAACGCCGTTCCTGTTCTGCAGTCTCAAAATTTCAACAATGCATGTCTCTTGGTTGTGGTTTTCTGTCACGAATCAACGTCCTTTTGTATTAGGAACATCAAAAATAGCAAAAGCTCTAACATGACGGTAATCTTCACTTTAAACATCTTGGACTGGATTGTTTGTGCAAAATGTAGCTGATCTGTCAGTGCATGCAGTTACACTTCTAACTTGTTCTCGTGTGAATACCTGCGTTTGTAAGAAAATGGTCGGTGCTCAGGAAATGCAGGTACTTGCCTCGACTATTACAAGGTAATTACACAGCAGCGCAACCCTGATGGTCTGCAGAGCTGAGAACAATGACGGGTTATTGGGTTACTAAATGGCTGATTGCTGAGGAATTACCAAGTATTTCTAGTGTTTTCTGTGCATGACTGCTTGGGAAAAAGGTGTTTTTTTGGTGGTGGTGATTTCTTTAGCCATGTTTGTTGTTGGCATTATCTTGGACAAATGACTGAACTTTGGTACAGAAATTAAAAGAGTTGTACTATAATGTTCCATTTGTAAATAATGCATATTTGTCTTTAGATCATGCAGCAACAAAAAATGGCTGAAGAAATCACATTTTACATACAAAAAATATGTTCTTTTTATTATACTTATTAAATGCATATGCTGGATAACTTTAGTGAACTGAACAGGAATAAGATATCTTGTTTTTAAGATATATTTTTCTACTTTGGTTGTTTTTTCAGAGCCCAGAATCTTCAGCTAAAAAACCCAACAAGACGCCCGTGAAACCAAATGGCCCTGCAGGGAAACCTTCAGGATCAGCAACCAAACCTCAGATTAAGGTATGGAACGGCTCCTTTTTATTATTTGTGGTTAATAAAATGAATCAACTGGAAGTCATTATAAGGTACAGCAGATATCCGTTATATTTGGTGTGGAGAGGCAGGAAACTGTGTTTTATACCGAGACAGAACCTCACACGTAAAGTAGATTTAAAAGGACCGTCTCCTGCTATAAATCACTTTGTACAGTCCAGAATTAGCTGAATTTAGCAGACTCTTGTTTTTTATTGTAAGTCAGAACAAGTTGGCCAGAATACATTCTGAGGAAATTCATTCAACCTTTATTGAGACACGTAAATCCCATTGAGCCTCGAGGACTCGTTTACAAGAGACACCTGAGAAAAAAAATCATTCATTCAACTTTATTGTAATTACAGCAAACAACTCAGTTGTGATCAGCAAAAAGCACAGTTTTCAATAGAAATGACTTAAATCAAGACTATGTTGCAAATGTATGCAGAAAAGATATTACCTCCTTGTGAATAAATCAGGTTCCTTCTCCTCTTCAGCTGGTTTGTGGATAACCTTATCTGGTCTGCGTGTTCTGCTCTTTTCATAATAAAATGACATTGAGTGCATTTAAAAATCCCTGTACAGAAATTGATGGTTTGTAAATAGGATTTTTTTGTTTTGTTTCATGCATAAGATTGGCAATTCCTGCCAGTTGCACTTTAAAAATGCAAAAAATGCAGCGGGAGGAAAAAAAAAAAACTTGGTGCGCCTTCAAATTCCAAAGTAGAGGAATGTGATACGCATGTAGCAATTAGCTCAACCTGATAGTTAATTTCTTAGATAGAATGTCTTGGACAGCCGCCTCTCAGAACCTGAAGCTTGAACTCTGTCTCTGTTTAAGCAAACACACCTGACCTCTTAACAGGTTTCCCGGGGCAGGGTTTAAACCTGCGACCCCTTGGTCTGACCCCGCTGTCTTGAGTTGCAGCCCCCTTTGATGCCCCGCACCCTCGTACATATCAGGGAACACAAATGACCAAGAGTTTCTGGCTGTTTGCACATTTCACAAACACATTACTGTGAAAAAACTATCTTGAGTAGATAAGAGTTTATGTGTTGGTTTAACACACAGAACAGCCACAGGATTACAAAGTACAAAATAAAGTTTTAAAGGTCCAACTCCAGCATGATGAGCAAATCAAATAAAGCATTTATGTTTTCTGAATTAAAAAAATTAAAGTCTTGAATGTTCAGCATGCTGTAAAGATACTCTGAGGAAGAACAAACTGTGTGGAGAAGTCCTTCTTTTACATGAATTCAGTCTGATGGCTTTGCTTCTCAGAAAAAAAGAGATCTGGAATATTTCAAAGTGAAAATTTTACAAATGTTCTTTTAACGTAATCTACACATTTCACATGATGTATGAACAGTATTTATGAAACGCCTGTTTAGTTTATGAGCTTGTCCGATTTAAGTTATTCATTAAAGCTGGCAACAATATTTACACAATTTACTGTGATTAAAACAGCCACGGAGAGAGCGAGAGAGTTGTCTCAGCATCAACATGAAGAAAACAGAAACCACGATAATCACAAAGCAGAAAGAAACACCAGGGCTTAATTTGAGCCAGAACAGGATCCGGGAACTCGCTTATTTTGACAGTGTGCGTTCCTGTAACTGCTTGGATTGGATCCGGTAACTCAGGCTTATTAATAATAAAGTGATGAACAAATTTGACTGCCTTGAATGAATAAAACCTATATTGGATATGTAATTTGAACATGATTACTGTACATAAACACTAATTTTAAACACAACAGCCACTTACGTGCTTCCTAATATCGCATCAGAGCTGTCGCTTCGCATTGCCGCTTCTACCCTTAAAAAATCTCCGCCCCTAAAATTTCAGTCATAGGCAATTCAATTAAAAACACAAAAATATTATTAAGCAACACAACTAAATTACAGTTTAAGTGGGTCATTAATAAAATGTGGGTTATTTATTAAAAATACAAGGAGAGAAATGTTTGATGGGTAATCACGTGACATAGGACGTATCAAAACGACAACGCCAATTTGTCAAAATCACAACGATCAGCATGTCGAAAAGACTGTCCAGTTTACTTTCATTTAAAAAAGTCCTTGTTGTACAACTAAATAATTATTAACTAATAATTATTGATAATTAAATAGAATTGAAGCACATGACGGCAGTGGCAATGGAGATAGTACTCGACAGTGGTGGTGGTGGTGGGTTAGGATGCTTGAGAGAAGCAGCGCATGCTCTATTCACACAAGGAGAGCTGTTGGTCAGGCTACTACTTGTTGCTCTCTAAAATAGTTATTGAATCAAATGTTTACTTGTGTAGGTAAACGTAGATGTTTAACAAACTGTTAAAATACAGCAGAATGCAAAAATTCTACATTTTCTGCGGGAGGATCTCCTATTTGCATTCCGGTATCGTTTGGTTTATAAATTAAGCGCTGACAAACATCGAACTGAAGGGCTCAAGGCTAAAACAAGTCAACTGTTTTTAATATTTGGGTGCTTCAGTAACAACGAAAGATCTTTGAAAAAAATGAAGAGCAGAATTGCGCAAGCACAACAAGCATTCACAGATCTCAGAAAAGTTCTGACAAACGTACGCCTCTCAATGAAGAGCCGGAAGAGGAGGCTGGAGTGTTGCATCATCCCCGTTGTGAAATTTGGAAGCGAAGCTCGGACCATGAACCGAAACGCTGTTAACATCATAAACGCTGCAGAAATGCAGTTTTTAAAAAGAATGTTCAAGATGTCAGACACCGACAGAATCACCAACAAAGAGCGAACGAACAAAGATCCCTTTACAAAAAGATCGTGCTGGGACAGGCTAACTGTTTTGGACACACCATGAGAAGGGAAGCGTTGGAAGAACTTGTATCAACTGGAAAAATAAAAGGAAGAAGACGGGGAGAAGACGTCGGACAGCTCGAGCTGTTTTATGGGCACAGCACCTACCAGAAGGTCGCTTGTGAAAGACTGCATGGAATACAGAACCACGGTCACCAACGCCTTCTGTCATGGCACTTCGAGAGTCACATTAACAAGTGTTGGATTGAGATGTGTTGCCCAAATGAGACCAGTTTCACCAGATAAGCGTACCTGATTTCCATCCATCAAGAGGCTTTTCTCCTGTTTCAACGAGCAAAAAAGTCATAAAGATCTTTTATCATTTCAATCAAAATTCAACTGCTTAAAACAACAGAGGTTAAAATGAAAACATGAAGAATCAGATCTTGTTAAACACAACTCACGACTCCGATTAGAAACGGCCTTAACCCTCCTGCTGTCCTTGGGTCAAAATGACCGCTGAGCTGAGGCCGCAGCAGGAAGGATAATCAAACATTTTTTTATCCATCCAGAGGACCTGACTTCACTTTGTTAGATGTTTCTACCTGGATTATTGAGCAGCATCAGGATATTTGACAAACTGTTTATTCTGAATTTACTAGTGTGCATTTTAAAACTCGTGGTACTCTTGTCAATCTTATTGTATGCATGCGAAGCTTGTATGCTGTTGTGACTACCTTATCTTCATAATTTAGCAGCTTTTAAAAAAAACTAGGATTTTTTGGCAGCTCATCAGAAATAAACCCAGGAAACTACGCAGAATGTACAAATGATCTTTTTATTGTCGCCAAGCTTGAAGTAACGTCATGATTTAGACGCCCCCGGGCCTTTGAAAACATTTTATAACTTGTTTTGTCTTGACAGTCACAACCGCAGATCTTGTTTTATTTGTCATAATTTGAAGCTGCAGTTCTGGCATCTAGAACTCGACTGGTGTTTGCAGTTTATACCAGCGACGTGAGCTGATGCCAGTGGATATGTTTAAGATAATGAAACCTGGAGTAGCTCAAGGGGTTTTCCCGCTGTGTGGTTTAGCGTGGATGTTGTCGAGAGACGGCACATTGATTTGTGTAACGCTCGGTGGGCACCTGAACTTGCGAAACGTTCCCGCTGGTTTAATTTTCTGACGCTCGCGCTCCCATCCCCTCTCCACCACAACGCAACTGTTCCTGCTCCGCAACCTTTTCACACCCCTCACTTCCTGAACACACCTTCTCCCAATTGCTCTCATTACGAGTGTTTGATGTCTGGTGCAGCTTGTGCTTCCAGATGCCCCTGAGGAGCTAGAAACGGGCGTGGATGTCTGTTTTTTTACTTCCTAAATGCAGGTGACTGGTCATTAGATTGGCCTGTCAGATCTGTTGCCAGTACAATTCTCACCTCTCGCAGCCCAGCATGTTGCGGCACCTTTTAGTGCGACAGGCTCCATGTGGGAACCAGGTAACTCGAGCAGTAATAGATTTGAGGTAACCCAATCTTCCAGCTGGTGTTTTATGATTAATGGGTTTATTGAAGTCGATGCCTTTAAGCACACGTCACGATCGTAAAACTACTTCGCGTCACTCAGCAGTATCCCATAAGGGTGTGAGTCATTGTTTTTGTGACTGATTGGTATGTTCTTTAGCAGGTGCTTTATTTATTTCTGTAAAGATGTTTTATGTCCAGGACCTGAAAAACGTCCAACTCATTTAAAGGCGCGTAAAGTAAATCAGTTTTTATGTTTGAAACCAGTATTATTTTAATACATCTTTCTAGCTCGAGGTTATACATGCAAATTCAAAAATATGTCAAATTTATATCCCTATTTTTTTTTGTGTGTGTGTTTCTTTAAGGCGTCTCTTTTTTTAAGCTAGAGAATCTGTTGTTTTTTACATGTACATGTGTAGTATAATTTATACTTTATTCCATACCCAAAAATGGTGATGTTATTGTTTGTCGAACCATTAACTCTTAGAGGGATAGTGACGGATCCCTTTGTCCCGTTTCTTCAAACATGAGCCTTTAATGTTCACATTCCCAAAAAATGACAATTACTGTTCCTGGACAGACTTGATGAGCAAATGTGTCACAACTATGTGTTTGCGCTGGATTGAAGTCGAGAAATTGCATCAAATGATAGTGTGCTTGTGATTAAGTTCGATGTCTTGTGCCGTCTTTAATCAGCGTCTGGCCCAGATGAAAAAGCTAGCTGGCTTTGTGTGTTTCAGGTCCACAGCTGTCCTTTGGAAGTAGAGAGCTGCCCGTAAATAATAAATATGTGGTGCATTTGTTTGGCCTGGAGCCAGCAGTGTGTGTGTGTGTATGTGTGTGTGTGTGTGTGTGTGTGCCGTTCAATGTTTGTTTCAAAGTTTGTTCATTTTTTACTCTTTGATCTTTGCTGTAAAATGCAGATCTCGGGGACACATTATTGCACTTTTTAACTAGAAAGAGGCCACATTTTCTTTAATTATTGCACCTGCGTTTTATTATAAATTGCAGCTTTAAGATGCTTTTGTTTTCTTTATTTTGGGCGTTAGTTTTAAATATATTTGGGATTGTGTATTTTTTAAGTTGCAGTCAATAAAACCTTGGCACCACAGTTTGCGTTGGCATACTGTGCAGTATCAGAACAAACCACAAAACGTCTGGGACAATGTCTTTTCAACAGATGAGATCAAAGTAGACTTTAAAAAAAATTTCTTTAAACCTTTATTTTACCAGGAAAGAAATCCATTGAGATTATTAATCTCCTTTACAAGGACGTCTGGGGACATGTCTGGCTATGATCCTGAGTACAGGACAACTGTCAGCACGGTGGTGCAGGGCTGACTTGGGCTGGTTTTGCAGCTACAGGACCTGGGTACCCTGATGTCATTTAGTTTATTATAAACTCTGCAAAATATTCTACGGTCAAATATCAGCAAATCTACAACAGAATGGCTGAAAGTAAAAGAGTCAAGGTTTTGAGATGGTCCAGTCCAAGTCCAGACCTCAACTGAAATAACAATAAAAATATGAATGGGCCACAAATTCTCTTCAATTAAAGTGAAATCTAAAAAGTTTATGGATCAAGTTGGTACTTTAAAGCACCTGTCCTCAAACTCTTTTGCATAGTGGACAGGTTTAGTACAAGACGACGTCTCCACAGACTTTTAGAGAAAAAAGAAGTTCTCCAGGGAAGTTAGTTTTCACCCGTTTTTGCCTTTTTCTTCTAGGTTTGACTTTCCTTAAAATATATCTGTGACTGAGTCAAGCAATGGATAGAGGTGTGAATTAATATATTAATAAATAAATAAATATATTTTGTATTATTATTATTTTTTTCTGTATAGTCCATAACAGAATGATCCATGGACCCATGCTGGTCCTTGCCCTGTTGGTTCAGGACTCCTACTTTTTATTATTTATACTAAAGGTTGTTCCACAAGTTGTGAAACTTTTATGTATTCAGTTTTACACACACTGCTACTTCATTTGTTCTCATTTTATTAAATAAAAAAATATTGTTTGGTGTAACATGTACTGTATCTCCAGAGATGTTCAATCAGATTCAAGTCTGGATTCTGGCTTGGCCCCTCCAGGACCTTCACAGAGTTGTCCTGAAGCCACTCCAGGACCTTCACAGAGTGGTCCTGAAGCCACT